GAGCATAACATATACTAACCAGAGACATTAACTAGAGACATTAACCAGAAACTACTAGAAACATTAACTAGAGACATATAACTACGACATAACTAGAAACATTAACTAGAGACATTAACTAGAAACATTAACTAGAGACACTAACTAGATATACTAACCAGAGACATTAACCAGAGACACTAACTAGAAACATTAACTAGATACTAACTAGATACATTAACTAGAGACATTAACTAGATATACTAACCAGAGACATTAACTAGAGACATTAACTAGAACATTAACTAGATATACTAACCAGGACATTAACTAGAGACTTCTAGACACTAACTAGAACATTATGTCTAAACCAGAGACATTAACCAGAGACACTAACTAGAACATTAACAGAGACATAACCAGAGACATAACTAGAACATTAACTAGAGACATAACTAGAAACATAATAACCGAGCATTCAATTATTAATAATAACAGATATACTAACCAGAGACATTAACTAGATATACTAACTAGAGACATTAACTAGAGACACTAACTAGAGACATTAACTAGAGACATTAACTAGAACATTAACTAGATATACTAACCAGAGACATTAACTAGAGACATTAACTAGAGACATTAACTAGATATACTAACCAGAGACATTAAACATTAACTAGAGACATTACTAGATATACCATTAACTAGAGACACTAACTAGATATATTAACCAGAGACACTAACTAGATATATTAACCAGAGACATTAACTAGAGACATTAACTAGATATATTAACCAGAGACACTAACTAGATATATTAACCAGAGACATTAACCAGAGACACTAACTAGAAACATTAACCAGAGACACTAACTAGATATATTAACCAGAGACATTAACCAGAGACACTAACTAGATATATTAACCAGAGACACTAACTAGATATATTAACCAGAGACATTAACTAGATATACTAACCAGAGACATTAACTAGAGACATTAACTAGAGACATTAACCAGAGACACTAACTAGATATATTAACCAGAGACATTAACTAGAGACATTAACCAGAGACATTAACTAGAGACATTAACCAGAGACATTAACTAGAGACATTAACTAGATATACTAACCAGAGACATTAACTAGAGACATTAACCAGAGACATTAACTAGATATACTAACCAGAGACATTAACTAGAGACATTAACTAGATATATTAACCAGAGACACTAACTAGATATATTAACCAGAGACATTAACTAGATATATTAACCAGAGACATTAACTAGAAACATTAACTAGAGACATTAACTAGATATACTAACCAGAGACATTAACCAGAGACACTAACTAGAAACATTAACTAGAGACATTAACTAGATATACTAACCAGAGACATTAACTAGAGACATTAACTAGAGACATTAACTAGATATACTAACCAGAGACATTAACTAGAGACATTAACTAGAGACACTAACTAGAAACATTAACTAGAGACATTAACTAGATATACTAACCAGAAACATTAACTAGAGACATTAACTAGATATACTAACCAGAGACATTAACTAGAGACATTAACTAGAAACATTAACTAGAGACACTAACTAGATATATTAACCAGAGACATTAACTAGATATATTAACTAGATATATTAACTAGAGACATTAACTAGAGACCTCCAGAAACCGTTTCTTATTCTGAGTAAATTCAAACACTGTAATGTTTGAATGTTCCTCAGTTCAGACACGTCTCGCTCTCTGGGTTTATCTGCAGATCACTTCCTCTCAGCTTTTTGTTTCATACAGTTTCATCATCCTCACATCTCCACTGTCAGAATATATATATTTAAATATTTATAAAACATATATCCAGCCTGCAGACGGAAAAATAAATCATAATAAAACAAAATAATAATAATAACATTCTAAAGTGTTGTTTGTTATACATTGTTTGGTGATATATTGGTTTGTAATTTAGAGTTTTTTATGTATTACTTGTTCATATTCTTTTATGTCATGTTATCAAATTATTAATTTGATGTTTTTATTACAGGTTATCTGTCTGACTTTGATTTTATATCAATACATGTTTTTATTATTTATTATGGTTTATGTTTCGGGCCTGTAGTTTGTCATATATTTGTTATTATTTATTTCATATTTATTGTATCTATGTATTCCAGGTTATGGTATCGGCCTGTTGTTATTTATATATAATATATATGTTTATGATGTATTCCAGGTTATGGTATCAGCGTGTTGTTATTTATATATAATATATATGTTTATGATGTATTCCAGGTTATGGTATCGGCCTGCCGCAGAACTCGCCCTTGACGTCCAATATTTCCGACGTGATCAGCAGATACAAGTCTGAGGGTTTTATGGATCTTCTGCACGATAAATGGTACAAAGTGGTTCCCTGTGGAAACCGCGTGTTCGCCGTCACCGAGGTCAGTGTGGAGGAAACTCTTTAGAGAAACTGATCAAAGTAATAAAGTATCCAAGTGAAATGCAGGAACAGAGCAGCTTCATCCTCAGAGGAGAAGCAGGTTCTGCTTTCAGTCTCTCTGTGTGTTCATGAGAGCACACAGCTGCCCCTCCATCCCATCATTAAACCCTAAACCATCAAACCCCCCCCCCATCCTTAACCATTTGCAAATCCACCTTTTACTTCCTTTGCCCTCCTGAAATGTAAATCCTTAACATATGTCTCTGTTAAACACATACAAGACTGAAAATACAATTTAACATTGTAAAAGGCAATCAGAGTATAAGACTATCTGTTGTTAATTTTGTAATTCAACATGTATATTTTCTACTTTCTTGTTTATTTCTAGTCTTTTGAATTTGTATTGTACAATGCCATGTATTTTATGCTGCTGCAACACAAACATTTCCCAAATTGGGATCAATTAAGTTCTATCTTATCTTATTATATTAAATATATGATACTCACGTGTTCCCCCCTCAGACGCTTCAGATGGGCATCAGCCACTTCTCGGGCCTCTTCCTGATGCTGTGCGTCGGGGTGGGGGGGGCGCTGCTCACGCTGGTCGGGGAACATGGGTTCTACCAGCTGGTTCTGCCTCACATCCGGCGCCGGCAGAACCTCAAGTACTGGCTGCACACCTCACAGGTAACTCAGATAAATACTGATTCAGAATCATCACTGATTTATAATGGCTACTGATTCAGAAGCCCTGTTCTGCTGCTGTTCAGGTGTATCTCACAATTACATTTTCAGATTTTCAGAAAAAAGTCAGAATTCTGAGATTTAGCTCAATAACTCAGAATTTTGAGATTTTTTGAGATTTTTTTTTAAATGATCAGAATCTTACATTTCAAGGACTTTGACAAAAAAGTCAGAATTTTCATTAAGGAGTCACAATGGGAAAAAAACTGCTTGAATTTTGACCAAAAAAAATCTGAATTCTGAAATGTTACTTAAAAGTCAGAATGTTGAAGTTCTCAGAAAGTGAGAATTTAAATTAAAAAAAAATAAAAGTGAGAATTTTCTGAAAAAAGTCAGAATTTAGAAATTATCAGAAATAAGTCAGATTTCAAGAAAAATACAGGATTTTGAGGTTTTCTGAAAAAATGTTTCAATTTCAGAAAGTAGTCACAATTCTGAGGTGTACAGTAATAAGTCAGATTTTGTGAACAATTTGAGTGATAATTTGGAGAACAAAGTCTGAATTCCGACATTTTCTGAATAAAGCTAGAATTTTAAGAAAAAAACTGAATTCTGAGATATAAAAAAAAAAAAGAGGGATCTCTGGGGAACACAGGGATTTGAGCCTTTGCAGCCCATTTACATGCACTGACACGTATGTGCTTCTGCTGATGAGAATCAGATCATATTAAAAAGTTATTTATGTTTTGTTTCCTGCTTTAACAGAAAATCCACCGTGCTCTGAACATGACGTATGAAGACGTGAAGCGTCAGCGTGCAGAGAAAGAGAAGAGGTTCGTTATTATATTATTGATTTAAAAGGTTTTAATTTGTTTTTAAAAATGTAGTGAAGGCTTTGTCCAATCAAACAGGCAAAAGAACAAGTTATTAAATCCAAATCAGAATACCTTAGTTAACCCCACAGAGGGGACGTTTACAGTGTTAGAGCAACAGTAAAGAGACAGAAAGAAATATATAAATGTAGCTTCTACTCAGAAAGTGGTTTCTTAATAACTTAATTTTAAAAACGGCCTCTCTGTTTGTGTCCAGCTGTAACCTGGAGAAGCCCCCACCCTCACCAGGACCCCCAGGACCCCCCGGTGTTGCGACCAGGTGGAACAACGAGGACGCCGCCGCCGTTGCTAACGACGCGCGAGACTTCAAACGAGTCCACTTCCACCTGGAGACGCTCAACACGCGGCGCCTCCTCGCCCGCATGGCCGCCTCCGACGCCAAATCCAAACCTGAGGGGGAGGGGCCTGCCAAACCAAACACAGGGCCAAAATGTGGGCCAATATTTGGGCAAAAAACGGCGCCAAACACGGGGCAAAACAGCCGACTTGTTGCTAACGGAGGTCCGGCGGCGTCGCTAGCAAGTCTGGTGCTCTCCCGACAATCAGCTGCCCGGACTAATGCCCCGCCCCCTATCGTTGTAGATCCACCCCCTGTAGTTGTAGCCCCACCCCGTCCCGGCGAACTACAGGAACTTCAGGAAGAGATTGAACAGATGCGTGAAAGGCTGAGAACGGCTCTCGCTCGTCGGGCCGAAATCCAAACAACGCTGACCAACCCTGTTGCCCCGGAGACAGACAACCTCTCAACAACAACAACAACAACAACAACAGAAGCCCCACCCACAACTTCCCCGCCCACTGTGACTCCGCCCACTGTCACTATCGCCCCGGTAATGCCCCTCCCCGCCAACACGAAGTGCGTGACCACCATGACGACCCCCCCTCACAAAGTCCTGTCCAAAGTCCGGCCCTTCCAGAGCAGACTGACCAATCAGAGGAGGTGATGCTCTCTCTGCACAGGTCACATGACCCTCTGCACACGGTGGCCATTTTAAACAGCCTACATTTTTGAAAAGTTGAACCCAGATGTAAAAACTCAGACTAAAACTTAACGTATTTATTATTTAAACATCTCTAATACTTTTAGTGGGTCCATTGTCGCCCAAAAAAACAGGGGGTTGTTTAGAAGAGAAAAAAAATCTAGTGTTTTTTTTTTCGTCACAATCTCAAATAAATTACAAGTTTTTTCAATTAATTCACAACTTTAATCTCAGAGTTAATTATATAAATATCATTTTATGGCTCTGTAATGTTTACATTTTTTACCAACAATGACAATTCTGCGTACTAAAATTCAGATCTGTAGTTTAAATTGAAATTGGGTTTTTTGCTTAATGCTGCTTTTGGGAGAACTTTACGTGAAAACACAAGACGGTTTATATAAAGTAGTTTTTAAGTATTAATCTTTCTTTCTGAATGTTTATAATGACCACCGTGATGCTAAAGCAGTGGTTCTCAAACTTTTTTCTGTCAGGCCCCCCCTTTGGAGAAAAAAAAAAGTAGGGCCCCCCCAACACAAATAGCCAGGCTCCGTGGCGGCGCCAGAGATTTATTTTGGGGGTGCTGTGGGGTAGCTTGACGTTTCATAGATGGTGCTCAAACATTTAGGGTTTCCCATTAATGTACCGGGCGCTACAGTGGAATTTTCTACTGCAACACTCCCCACGCAAATACACAGTGTGACTGTTACAATGAAGGCTCGAGGCATATAGGTGTAAGCAGGGGTAAAGTGCTATTTTTATAGGTGGTGTGTGGACATCACATATGGGGCTCCGGGGGCATGCTCCCCCGGGAAGATTTATTTTTAAATATTGAAGTTAA